CCCATCTCCGCGAGTAGGCGGTCTGCCTACGTTTGCGATAGTAGAACCATTCGATCTGTCAAGGCGCCATTCCGTCTAGCGCTTACTACCAGTGAAGAAAAATGATGACCACAACGACAACTTCGGCTAAAACGACAATAGCAACAATAACGTCAACCGGTTCAGAATGGAATGGCGAGCCTTCTCGTTGAACCTAGGTAAAAAAGCCCCGTCAAAAGTCGACTGTTGGCTAGAATAACCAGCGTGTCGTTCATCGCGGTCTAGACAGCTTAGTGTGCTTTAGAATACTGCGCTTCTGCTCGAGGTCTCCTTTTGCCGTTGCTAAACCTTGCCTCATAGAAAAAGCCCCGTGCTGTGAACACTGTTCGTTAATAATTGTAGGCTAGTTGTAGTAGTAGGCGGGGCAAGGATCTTCTAAATTGTAGCACTATAGTGCCATTGCGGAAAGGTCGAGATAAGGCGGCAGGCTTCTATTGCTCGGTGTCGCGTGAACACCTTCTCGTGTTTTTTGTCTCAACGAAAGTGGGCCTTCATTGACCTAACGGTGTTTGCTAATTGAAAGCAGCCGGTCGAGCTCATTCTGAATCGCACTGCTTGTCAAGGCTAGGTAGTAAACGAGCGGCAAATATATGCCCATACACTGTACCTCTGTGTGTAACGAATACATAAGAGAACAAGGCACAAAAGCGGAGCAAGGTCTAAAGGACTAGCACAAGATGCTCATACTTCGAGATTATGTGTAAGAAGCACGCGCTGTGCTAATAATGAGTTCATGAAGGCGACCTATGATTGGTCCTTGATGCGTTGCCTATTGCGCATCAAACAGTATGTCTGTAGTACGTGGCGCTTCCATAAAAACTAAAGGCGAGAGACAAGTTGATGGGTAAATCACGAAATGATAGTTTTTTACTCTTTGCGACTGGTGCAGTTCGCTACGAGTGGCTTGTAAACGAGTCAGTTTCAGAAAAAATACTAGTTTGACTTACTTTTGAATGGGTATTTATCCGGGCGGTAACCTGCGACACACGCTACCATAACCACTACCCGGATGCACGTTTGTCATGGGAGGCAATTGCATATTGCATCGATGGGGTCTCATCTCCGAATTACAGAATTGATTGCCTTTTATAATCATTTGCTAAATAATTTCAATGTTATTGATATTGATGTTACCATTGCAGCTTGGCGTACTTAATTAGAAGTTGCTACTTGTTAATGAATGTGTTGCAGAAAAAATGAACGTATTCTCGGTTAGATAATGCTGTACAACTTCCTACTGTAAATTATTTTTAGTCTAAATCTCAATTTCAAAAATATGGAAAACAGGGAAACCTATCGACGTTTTCAGTAGGCGGACTGCGATATGACTGCGGGTTAGTGTTACAACGTATATCTTTATATACAACCAGTTTTATCTTTGCATTATTCAACTAAGTTCCGATCCGTTCAAGAATTTTCATCTGAGTCGGCCTATTGCTACAGTCAATCAGGCAAACCGGATAAAAAGCCACACGTCACTTGCTCGGATAGACGATACAATAGCTTTTGATGTACCAATTTATAACGGTACGAAGAGTCAATACCCTAACGGGGTTGGCTCCATTCGAGTCTGGCTGTATGTGCTAGCCTGTTTGTTCTGCGAATGACTAAAGCTGCATTGGGAGTGACGTTCGGAAGCACTGAACAAGATAGGTAGTCTCCTAGTTTTACCAGCGGCGACACCATCTACAGTGGTCAAGTAGTCAATAGACAGGGAGTAAGCTTGAGTTTGGAGGCCGATGTACATAGCGTGAATGTGTTATTATATTATAGAGACGGTCAACAGGGATTGCATTTTATACAAAGTAACAGTGGTGTCAAGTGGGCGCGAGCCGTCTCAGCATGCTTTCGTTGGCGCAAACTCGACTAGCGGCCGAACGGCCGCTTCTTCCACCGCCATGAAACTATTGCTAGGCTGTGTTTCATCTCCAATGAGCGTTCGGTCAATAACTAAAACAAATGGCCGATAACACGTGCAGTGTATCGTACCACCTTTAGATGAGAGCTCTTAGAGATGTGGTGCTAATAGAGTCTCCCAGACGAGTATCATGCAGTAGTCGGCGCACAAGGATACACAGTGGGTATGAGTAGTTTCGTGAAGTATCATGTTGATCGGACAATTTGATTGAAATAACTCAACTGGAATCGTATGAATTAATAAAGGTCCAGCTTCGCTGCTGACGTTTCATATGATCGATCCTCCGCGTAGCATAACCTAATCTCGAGATTTCAAAAGTTCTTAACTTATCACTAGGACCTATTGCTAATATAGTGCTGTTTCGTATTCTCGGTTGCCCTCCATGTGTCATCATCTATACCGTGTTCGAATTTGCTAGGAACCTAGATACGCCGGGCAGTAGATTCAAGTTGCTGGAGTAAAATATTCAAATAGACTGAAAAAAATGCTTATAGCAAGTCCGCTGTGTCCGTAGAAACAAAATACACAGTTTAGTGATGATGCGCCATCTCATGCACGTCGCACGATATTGCCATCTTAAAGTTCAACTCTTCTTTTTATCTGTTTCGCCATTTGACAAAATTTCAGCGTAGAAAGGACGCGCACTTTCTGAAGGACTTCAAAAGACTTGTGGCACACATTCTGTGAAAACAGTGGCAGAAATACACGTAACACGAGCGGTTTGCGGAGCTAGACACCTTGGGAACCGCTCCTAGACGCCCAGTTTACAGAAGATCACTGCTATTGCTATAATATTGTTCACAGACTTTCAAATGTTTTGCATTTTACCCTATGATCGCAGTCCTCTAAGGAGAGCAACATCTACCTATTTAAGGCGCGGAATGATCAAGATAGCAAAAGCGAGAACGATAAAGGATAAGATGCATCTGTTGAATAGATGATTTGTTGTTGATGACTAGAACTTGCGTCAATAACTTACGTGCGCTGTTCTCAGACTTCGGCATGTTTTAGTATGACTTTCTGCTATGGACAATTGGACGCTGAGTCTTTTTTCATAGACTTTTTTTGTTGCTAGTTTGCATTCGTTTACATTCTATATAGCACAAAATGTAAACAATGAAAATTGCGAGTAGGGGAGTTGTTCTCTGGAAACTAGTTCTACCGTTGACAGATCTTTGTTTTGGGCCATTTTAGAACAGGCAGTGACTTTACATACGACAACACGAAGTGCATCTAGTCGGGTCATGGCAAAGGCTTGGCTTGTCCCTATGAATGAAAACGTACATTGAGAGAAGTCGGTGTTTTCCGCTGGCAATCAAAACCCAATCCCAAAACGATCCAATAACTAGATTGCGATTCTCATTTGTGAGAAAAAAACATTGAATAAGATGCTTTTCTCCTACAACTACGAAATGTTACCCTATGAGGGTGCGTTGCGTAGCTCTGTTTCCAATTTCAAATGTTAAGTGTAATTGAATACAAAAAGCTTAACCGTAACAAAGCACAGAGCTTAAGGGGCGCTATTATTTTTTTTAAATCTATATAATTATATATCTGAAAACTGCACTCGAAGACTCTGTAGAATTATATGTACATAAAAAGCGGACACCATTATACTTTCATGATTGAACGTTGCGTATTGTTTTACGTCAAGCACTTTTTCATTAGTCACAAAAGCTGCAATAGATGATCGGCGGATTTGGTCACTCTTGGTCAGATAAACGTGGTAAAATCTGCTACGTAAAGAAGCCGATGTAACAATGAATCCCTCTTCTTAGTCGTTTGGGCATAGGCCTGTGCGGTTTATCAGTCTATGATTCCGCGATTACCAGTCAATTGGTTTACATTCAGGCTACATATTAGAGCCATTGCTAGGATATTATATCGGGCAGAGATCGAACACGCTTTTGCTAACCGCTAAAAAAAAATAAGCTTATAAGCTCGGACTACGCTGGTATAAAGAATGTAATACAATAATATTAGATGACGTCCTTTTTAAATTAAGGAAGATTTTGTGTTTTTCTGAAACAAGAGTAAATTTTTAAAGGCCACATGGTAGTTTGCAATATGACAGTCTATTGACTGAGGAAAATACTCGGACTTATTATCTCTTGCGTGTCCTGATGACCCATTCACAGATATTTTTAGAATCTGTGCAAATTAGAAAACGTGCAATCAACATATTGCAGCCAATGTCATAAGCTTCGCTAAATGGCATTCGCCCGAAATCGAAGGCTCATATTGTGGTTCTGTCGAAGTCTGTCATCCCCCCTTACAATAAGCTTACAGTTTGTTCTTTGTATAACGCGTTGGTGGACCTATTATTCGTAGATTGGAAATGTGAGTGATATTTGCTGGCCCAAGAGGGTCCTTGCTGTCCCTGCTTAATACTTGGCACCAAGGTACAGCTGCTGCTCTCGTCCTGCATATTCGTGGTTTCGACGTCAGACGCCAACACCGAAGGGGATGCTGGAAAAGTGTCTGTCTCAGATATTACTTTACGAAAAGTGTAATGAGATCAACATGTGCCTACCAAATTATTCGTGTGGCGCCTGGTAGCACACTGGGTGGGTGTAAGTGTTTGTTTCATCTCTAACAAGCCTCACGTTTTGGACTAGATCACTATGAACTGACCTCGCTAAAGCTGTGGCATAAGAACCAAGATCTGGGTCTGTCAGATGGTGGGTGGAAAAATTGCTTATATGCGCGTTGGGTCGGCTACGTTATACGACAGCGTCCAGTGGGTGATGCCGTGCGAGTGAGTAGGCGCTAAAGAAAGCTGTGAAACAGCTGATTCTGACGAAGGCGGAAGAGTAATCCGTTTTCAAGAAGATCTGGTTAAGTCGAAATCGTGATGAATCGTACGTACAAGATATATCTTGAACAGATGCTGATTGACTCTTATATTCAAAGGAACGTTAGGCGTTATTATAGACATTTTACGGTACTATAAAGATTAGGTAGCGAGTGATAGTTTTGTGCTGTACACTTGACCATGGACAGGAATTAATCTCTCTATAATGAATGCTTTGATGAGTTTCAGAATCCAGTGTGGCTCTGAATCGCTGTTCGTAGGTAGCCTGTGCCGTTGTCCTGGCACAGTGCTTTTCCCTTCCGTCCTTGTCTTCCAGCTTGGATCCTTCACTGTTCGTTAGAGATGTTTGCCAACGGTGTCAAAATTGACGGCTCGTGGGAGCTGCGCATCTTTGTCACCGATCTCAAGGTGGAACGCAAGTTGCGGGTCATGGGGGACCTGCACATTGGGGGTGTGATGCTCAAACTCGTCGATACCCTGAGTAAGTACATCAATACGAATACAGGTATAATACTTATAGACAATGAAAAAGTTCTATTTATACGTTACCAGTCACGTACGAGCCCATAACGTGATCGTCGAGGTGGTCGATCTGTAGCAGCGCTTCTTTACTGGAAGCCGCGCAGGAATGGAACAAAAGGAAAGTTCCGCGGTCACGCGGTGACAGAGATTGTACAAGCTTGTTTAGAAATTGGCACCAGTCGATGTCATGTCTTGTGCTGCTGATTGGAAGCGTGCTGCTTCATTTGACCATGACACAGCTAACGACAGCCAACTCGCAATGTATTCACTGCTCATTCAGTCAGATGGCTGTACACATAGGTTCACTATTGCATCAAAGAATAACTGATCTTCCCTCTGTCTTCATTCAAACCGAGGGCTTACATTTCGCCACCGCGGAATCGATAGCAAAGCAAAAAAAAAAAACCATCTTGGTATCGTTAGCACCAGTACTCGTGGACTTCGTAATCTTCATAGGCGTTATTCGGCTATTGCGGCTTTATGTGATTTTGTATGACGCTGTCGATCACCTCTGCGTATGGGTTCGTTTAGGTAGTGAGCTTATGGCTGTAATCTTCTTTTGTACTATGAGGAGAATCTTAAAGATATTGTGACATGACTTTGTTTCTTTGTTGTACAACCATATGCTCAGTTATACTACATATATATCTCGTTTTCACATTCTCGTGGAGCGCATTATAGGTGGGTCAAAATCTACGCTTGCTGCTCGTTTAGGCTTCAATTTTGTTCGAGTTCAATTTATTATATATTTGCTACTGTAGTTCGGTGTTACTTCGATTGATATGCTGTTGTTCCTATTGAATATCGTTGCTATACCGCTGAATTTTTGAGTGGTGGATATAAGCACAAAAATGAATTCTGGTCTGTTTACTTATTGTCACTATTCCTCTCGTTACGATGACCAACCGCGTTATAGAAGAAAAAAGAAGGCCCACTCTGGGTAGATAAGGCAACTGTTGCTGGTAACCAGCTTTCCAGCAGCTGTTTAGGCTCGGCCGGACCGACAAGCCTTCCCAGAGTTCTTTGTCTCTAGTTCTGTTATTGTAGTTTTAACAGTAGCGCTCGTTGTCGAAGCACGCTGTGCCCATTCTTGTTGTAGCAGTTGCTGTGTAATTCCAGCCTCCGTTCCGTTGTTTAGGCTGCCTTTCCTCTTGGTGGAGAGATCTGGGTTTTACAGCACGAGAGTGGTAAACGCAATTCGTCGTCGCAATGGTTTTCACCGAGCGTCGTTGGTCGTTTCGTTTGGGCACTGTTCGTCCGTCGAGCGGTGCGTTCTCAGCAGGACGTGACGACCCCGCGATCGTTTGTTCTGTTTGCACGCGGCATGGCTCTAGTCCAAGTGTCAATCGGGTGTCTAACAGCTGTGCTCTCTCGTCTTAAATCACAATCGTAAGCTGTCGTGCATGTGTTGCGTTTGTTATTGTGTTATTGTACTATAATAAATAATGCTACTAGCGGTAGGTAATAGACCGTAGTTGTCGAGATACGACACTTCGGCGTGCAGCACGCGTTTATATTGTTGTATCTCACCATTCAGGGTTAGCTACTTGTAGAGACATGGTACGTCGGCCGGCGTAGTCCAGTGCAGCAGCACGCGAGAAAAAGAAGAAACGCGTGGAGGCGGTCATGTGCATGATTACTTGTACTCACTGGACTGACGCACTCACTCAGCGACGGTTAGAAGTCTATTAGGGTTGCCGCCGCCTGTCTGTCTGGTCGCTTAGGGTATGTATTAAGTTGCCTCAAGCGAAATTGAATAACTTTTAAACTAGCTCGGTTAGGATGAGGCCTTTTGATTTGTGTCAGAAATACTCTGCCTTCTTTTTTATACATTCGCCCCGGCCCTCTATCAGCAGTCGTATACCTACCATTCGCGTCCTCGTATGCAGTTTCTCTATTTATGGCTTCTCGAGGTAAATCGATAGTGGGATATCCTGGTTCACCAGTTGCCTTTTTTTAGGGTATGGAAGGCCCCGTAACCAGACAGACTTAAATCGGGAAGAGAACTTTATACGTGCTATATATATATGCTTGATCTAAGAAAAATAAGCGAGGCATGGCTATGACGACTGGCGTTTTTATCAACTAACCAGACTACATGCTTTTGTTTGCTGTGCCATAAATTTCTTGAGAAACTCGAAATAGCGGGCGCGTTCAGTGTTTCATTTTTGGCGAGTAACTCGTAATAGCAGATATCCTTGATATTCATTGCAAGTACTACCATCATTGAACCTCAGAACATACGTGGCGTATAGAGGTTGTGCCATGTTTCGCCTATGGCTACTATAGCGTTATGTTTTATCCATGGCGATTGAAAATCCTTCAAGTGGGTTTTTGTTGATTAAATTTTTGTGAATTAAACCATATGTATTTCCAATTGACCTCAAGTTAATTAATGGGAAGTTTTCGTGTTTAACGATTTGGGTTATAATTTTTGAAAACGTTACATTCAAAATGCCAGCTTTGGCCCACAGAGCCTTGAGACTCGAGCTCCGCTCTCATAAAATAATTGCGGCGATGCGCTCCTAACTTTTACGTCCTAACTAACACTCCAATCTCCGTTCTTGAAGTGTTTCTACCTTCACGTACTGTGATTTCGCTTAACACCTGATATCTTCACCAGGCGTCAATGAATTTTGACTTTGCGGTGGCCTTCGAGGCACCAAAACTTTACTACTGGACGTTGATTTGCGAAACCAAAAGGTCTTCTTCTCTGCTTCTCTCTTAATACTTCTGAACTCATTTTCTCTGGACTAACCTGAACCGGTTTTCATTCAAAAGTTTCTAGACGACTGGAGTATCTTAGTCATATACCAGCAAAAGTTCATCTGCTGACGGCGTGTAGTTCAAAAGTTACTCAATTTCAAAGTCGTAGACCTGTATTTGTTGTCGTCGTCGTCTTCTGTTGTCGTCTGTTTTTCATCCAGAGTCAAAGTTGTTCCTATTATTTAGTATTATCAACGATTTGGTATCATTCTTTTCTTCTACTTTTTTGTTCGAGCGCGTCGTACGACAGGTCACTATTCAATGGCAGGTCAAGGACCTCGTTGATAAGCAGACTGATACTATTTTTGGCACCGTATTGAGTAGCAGTTTCTACTTGCAAAATGTCTACTATATAAGTGTGTGCGCACTTTCGTTCATTTTAACCTTGGTCCGAATGACGGTTTCAGTAGCATTACAAGGTGTTGGTGTTTAGATTAATAACACAGGTAGCAAATACGGCACAAATCTCTTGTGTGGGGTTGCCCGATCCAATTCGAATTAGTGACCCAACTACCGAATAGTTGGGCTGGATACAGGAAACTAGCTTAGACAACACTGATGGAAACGCTAACCACGCCTATCTATGCCTGCCTTTCTAGTAAGTATGCCACATTCATGTCACATTAAACAACTTCTTTCATTTATGCCCTTTATCAGACAAAACCGATTCATTTTATAGGTGCTTTCAGATGCTACTGCATTTCTTCAGACCGGCGGCATGTGCTTAAGCAAGATCGTCTTTGTCTAATTTTCGCAGTAGCTTCTGAGCTGTATGATCTTATGCAAGGTCCTGCAGATTAGGACTATGAAGCTTATTTGATTCTGCCTATTTTTCATGCTTTCTGTAAACACAATAATTGCGAGCATAGGCGTGCTCTAGGTCAGCCTCATTTCAGACAGACTTAGTACGAAGTTCTAATTTAACGACAGCATGAACACAAAGCCCTATCAGGCCCTTTGCTCACGACTGGTTAATCTGAAAGTTTCCTCAAATATGTGCGTGCCGATATAAGATTGTATTGCATAAATGTCAGGCTCCTTTTGTCATTAGACCTAAACCACGCATCCTTAGTGAGTGATAACAATGTCGAAGTTTAATCAAAGCTTTGTTTCCTCTACACTTTTGTGTGGGTCAGAAGGAAAAATCGATCGTGTCGTCCATATCCTATACTGCTGTTAATTTGTATTCGTAGTTTTCTAAAATGTTTTCGTAACCGGTAACGTCCAACGTTAAAGGCACTTTGTCGGGTGGCGTTCGGATATAGCGGAAGCAAAAACAGTTCCCACAAAAACAGATAATCCGTTTGAAAACTGGAACGGGGAGAGGGAACGTTTTCTTATTCCAAAGGGCAACAAAGCTCGCAGCAGCATTCTAAAATGGTAATTGTTCTGCTCGTATAGATCTGCACCTTTTTGCATAGCGTGCAATACTTTCGAAACGATAGTGCCTATATTGTGCCATCCGTAAGGTACCGCATGTGAAAGATGTAATTTTACATGACGATGAGTTCTTACTTGGGTTAAACCTTTGGCGGTCGATAGCCGCTTGAATTTATCAGTTTGAGCTCTGCACATTTCCAAATGGTTTGCTGCAGGTTGCCTCTATAACCATAACGGGACCCCTGATACTAGTAATTATTCTATGCCAGCAATACTCTGAGACATTACAAATGAAGTTAAGTGAGAGCATTTACGTTAGGGTCGGTCACATCGACGTTAGTTACTCGAGTAACTTCTTCTATACATCCAGGTTCATCAATATATTTCAAATAATCATCGTTGATCATTATAACGAACAAATTGTTACAAAGAAGTCTTTGATTCCTGCGTTTGCGGCACCTGAACGCCGTAGTGACTCATCGATGCTACGATGCGGTGACGTCGATTGTGCGAGACATCAGCGAGTGGATTAGAAGCCAGAACTAATCCGTTAGTTTCAAGGAATGGAAGGCCGCATTGTGAGTATATGTATGTCGGCTCTGACGCGTAAACGTGTTCAGTACTTAAGCGTTCGTAAAACCCTACCATACACCGTTCACCGACGTATGCTAAGCATGACTACGAACGAAAAGCTAGTGAAGTAAAGAATCATTGGACCGATAATGGATTGTTGGGTGTAGGCAGTACGGCCGTTTTGGGACAACCCAAGCTGACATCATTGTGCTACGAATGTTGGCGAACCGTGACGCATACCGTTGCGTAACGGAGACATGTAAAAATGCTTTTTTACAGGTCGAGCTTGTTTTTTTTATTGCAAGCCGTTATAGTCCATTCATTTCTTTGCATTCAACTGAACTGCATGCAACAACTTATTTAATAAATCAACTCATTTAGTGAATTCATTAAGTTGAATCTCCGAAGACATGGTGAAAGTAGTGGTGAAGTCCTCACGACTTACACGTCTTGATGAATGAACATATTCACAACTGAACACGGATTCAACGCACTAATGATGGCCGCCCCCGCCGATACGAAAATGGCAGCTGATGTAGCTGTGCTATGGTGCATAGTGCCACACTTTCGGAAAATTTAGAAGCAAATGGCACTTTTAAGTTTGTTTAGAATTTACATTGATAAACTGAGCGTTGCAGGTAAACAGTTGGCCGACATGAGTATGTCAGTCCTCCTAGGATTAGCTGCAATATATTGCGGATGTAACTTACTTAGCTAGGCTCTAATCAGTAACTTACTTCACCTTGAACGTTCATAAATTTTAAAATACACACACTTTGCATTTTACATGACAGAGCCGCAGTTCGTTTCGGAAAAAACGTATTGTGCAGTGAGCAATCAGAAAAGACAAATCTTTTCATATGTTTTTGCTTCAAAAGCATCCGGTAGAGAAATTAATTAATGATTAATTGAAGTATTAGGGGCATTTACATGCCGTTTTAACATTTGCATCTTATATATTCAACGCACTCAAGCTAAACACTTGTGGAGGGGGGCCTCTTACTACTGCCCTTACCACAAACGGACTAAAAAATGTTTGGCTGCTTTTTCAGTGGGCAGCATAAACAGAAGCCCTGTTCGTTAGATCCTTCTCCGAATCGTATGTAGACAATTGGTACAAAAAGAATGTGTAACAAATTCGACGATAATTGTGTCTCTCACTATAGCCAAGCAAGGGCATCAGTCACCGAACTTGGAAATTACGCTCAAAAAAACGTCTGATTGGCATATTTCATTACTAAGAGTACTATACTTTCTGTATATATGTAGGAGAGTTACTCAGTTAAACTACGGCTTGGTCAACATGAAATGTGTGACCGAAGGCCCCTATCTCAGGTAATGATAGTGACAGCCACTCATATCGGAGAAAATCGTTTTTAAAATGCAAAGCGAAGTAAAAAAATAGAACGATTTCCCTCGGTGTCAGTGTTGTTCGAAAAAACATCAGAGGTAAGTGCTATAGTAATTAACGGTACACAGTATGACTCTAGTATAAGATTAGACAGAAAAACTGCGTCATAGGGGATTGATACTGGTGTCAATATTAAGGCAGAACTCAAGATAGTCAGTAATCACCTGTTGAAAGATTTTCAAGTCCCAGGTCTGAGATCTCTGAAGAACGCGAGAAAGCACCAATGCGTATGAATGATTCAAAAGTTAGTGTGAAACTTTGAAACGGGACAGATCTGCTTAGGACAGCCTGATAAAAGTGACGTTTTTTTAAGAAGTAACTTTTTTCATAGGCGTGGTTTTTTCGTTTCTCATCGAAATGTAGACTATCATCTAAAAGATCAAAGATATTTATCCTTCGGGCTTGAAGTCTAGAATACGACAGCCTGTGATGTGTCGAATAGCATAGTTGACACTAAGATTCGAATCATTCTTCCATAAATAATTTGTCGAGAAAAATTTTGGAAAAGTGGTAATCCGTGGGAGTAATGTATGGCGCGTATAATGGATCACAAAACGCCCCCATTTGTAACTCCTGCATCTTTGATTTTTGCTTTGTGGAATCAGGTGTTCCTCTTTAAGGTCGAGCGCAGTCTTACAATGGTAGTAGTTTACCTTCGTGTACTGTTTTTAGCTGTTTAATTCGAAGCTTTTCATCATTTGTTTCAATTGTTGTCACTACTGTTTAGCCGTAATTGACGAACCAGCAATGGTAAAGCTCTACTGGCCCACCAGCTAAGCTTTTGTGGCTGTACATTTGCGCTAGATTGATGTTTTGCGGGTGTAATTGCATCCACCTACTAATGTCACCAGGTACGGTGGCATAGAGAAAGCAACTTTTATCGCGAACCACGAAGAAATTCGGTGCACGAATGGGTCATTTGTACTGTGAAAATCTCCACGTTTGTTTTTGATCCTCGCTCGACCTAGGTGACATTAATTTGTTGATTTTTTTTTTTACTTTAATAGTTTGATCCAAAGGAGAAATTGTGGTACTTCTACATACAGCATGTTTGAGTGTACACATTTGTAAATTTTGAGATGGATCCAACTATTCATTATCCAGCTTTGTAAGGAGTCTCCCACAAGACCCATTTTCGAGCTTAAAATGTCGTTCTTGAAAATTGTCTAATCGGCGACTGAAGGCATTAACAGTAGAATTTCCACCATCTTAGTCAACGATTGACTTTCTCGTCGTAGTTCGCCTGACAAAAGCTCAGATGGCAACATTTGAGTTAACGGTATCAGACTCTGTTGAATACAGGTGTACATGATACAAAAAAGTGCCGAGAAATTAGCCTTATGTAGAAATGTTAGATTACTGATAACTATGTTTCTTTTAAGGTAACAGCTGTTTATAACTATGTGAACAGTATGTACAAGCCACATCTAACAATATCATGTTCTTGTTATTTTACTACATTAGATTTTGCTGCTTCCGTTGTTATTAAAACTAAGCATTATGTTGTTGCTTGATTAATTTGTTTCAGATGTGCCGAACGATTGGTCTGATCACGCACTGTGGTGGCCTGAGGCTAATAAATGGCTCTCCCGATCAAGGTCAACACTCGATCAGTATGGGGTTCAGGCTGATGCGTCGCTTCACTTTACGCCCATGCATAAAGTTCTAAAAGTTCAGTTTCCGGATTTGCGGATCCTCGATTGCCGAGTTGACTACTGCGTTACAGCATTTTCAGCCGTCGTCAAACTATGCAAGGCAAGTCTAATTATTTTGTCCTTCGTTGCAGTTGTTAATAATGTTTTTCGGTTGTGAGCTGTTTGCTGGTGTGTCTTAGTTTGTTTAGCCCAGCAGGCATTATCTTGAATTTTGCTCTAACGGTGACAATTCAGGTAGAAAAAAATGCTTTTTATGGTTACCTATTAGTGAAACAGTAGACAAATATGTAATGCTCGAAACCCCATCATTCTTTTGGGTCTGACATTAGCTAGCGAAGGGAACGCTTTGACTTACTAGCATCACGTCTTCACTATAACTTATGAACAGTAGATTTAACGGCTGCGAGTCTCATTTACTACAGTGTCAACCTAAACAGCTGAAGAGGAGCTAAGTACCGTTTCCTAATGACAGAACCCCATCGGGTCGAACCTGTAACAATTTATCGTTGTGTTTGTTTTACAGGAGCTGGGAATTCGACATCCGGAAGAGCTTGGCTTCAGTCGTCCGCTAAGCCAAGATCATCTGAAAAAGAACTATCGCCATGTGGGGGTTCCACCTCGGCAGCGAACAATAGCCGGACAGGGTGTGCTTAACCTCGAAAAACACGGAGTACCTGGGACAGTGTTTCAACAAAACGGACATGATAAAACACTGCTTAATTCTTCCCTTAACTCTACAACATGCTCGTTCAACAGTTCGGCCTATCTTGAAAGCAATTACTTAGCACAGTATCAGCACCCACTATCCTTGCCATTCAAGCCGCCAAACAGTATAAAAGTAATTGAGTGCAAGTTTATTTACAACTGAAATTGGTTTGATTTGAATAGCTGTGTATAAGACGCATGCCTAGACAGATTTGAAGCTCAAAGCATTTCAAAAACATGTAACACGGGTAAAGGAGGATAAAGTGCATGAGTAGGAAGTTATAGAACTTGTATTGACACCCATCTCATTCACTGTATGACAGAATGTGGGGAAGTCCGTTAAATCATTAAAATCATTTTGCGTCGGTCTCTTGAGCTGTTCGGTAAGCTAGAAAGCTTTCTCACATATGTCCATGTATGCTCACAACAGGCGGTCCAGCCTCGACCCAAAAATCTTGTCGAGCGCGCCCGACTGAACTCTGGCTGGCTCGATTCGTCTCTGTCACTAATGCAGCAAGACGTTGCTGAGTACGATATGCTCTGTTTACGATTTAAGTATCTCTCATTCTATGATTTAAATCCGAAGAGAGACGCTATTCGGATCAATCAGATCTACGAACAGGCGCGAAGGTCGCTGCTGCAGGAAGAAATCGATTGCACCGAAGCCGAAATGTCGCTCTTTGGAGCTCTGCAGCTACAAGTTAACCTGCAGGTACATATTGCAGTGGATAAAACGAATGATTCTGCTATAGTAATTCGTGTTGACGAGCTGAGCTCAGTTTGGCTCTAACGGTAGTACAGTTTATTAAGAGGCTTAATAACATGTTTTGTTCGTTAGCAGGATACCTGACCTGACAGGACCTGACCACACGAATGGCTGTAATGGAAAATGTGCGCCTTTTACATGCACTTTGTTGTACATACACACACACACACACACAGTCGATTGTTTGCATCGTTACATCAATTGAGATTGGTCGTTTATAGGTTATTTAGTGTCACATATCATGTGTTTTACAGACTGCTTCCGGGAATTGCCCACTTTCTGGAAACCAGGCTAAGGAAGATGATATTGATGCTGCGTTAGATGACCTTCAGGTTTCTTTGGAAGGGTCTGCCATTAATAAGGACCATACAGATGCAATGCAGATTACCCAAGTGCCTCAGCTATCCTCATACCTCAGATTCCTGAAGTGAGTTTTGTTAGGTATATATCTATTCGAGCGTAGCGTAGCTAAGGATATGACACAAAAACTGATGTCAATGAGAAGATACTCCTGATGAAAATATTTGCCTACTTTATCAGAAGCGAGAGTAATCTAGCAACAGTTATACATCGTGACATAATCATTGTAATCGTATCCAAGAAAAAAATTACGCTTACGAAGTGATTAAGTTAGCGATCCAAAGAAGATATAAAAACTTCCAGCCTACTGACTCAAAGCATGGAAAAGCCATCCTCACCGTTATAGCAACTTGTGTCCATGGCACTGATTTTTTCGTATTTTAGGCATTGCGAAAGCTGGCAAAACTTAATCGTATAAAACTATAACTTAAATATCAATTCAGTTTTATAATTTGAATCATTGTATAGTGTCACCAAAGTAGTTGTATCGTACAAATTGATTCCCATGAACGAAACGATTAATGATTGCAACGTACAAATCAACGAAAAAAAAACAGACCTCGCGAGAAAGACTGCTGTTATCGGTGCTGCTGCTGCTGTTGTTGTTGCTGCTGCTATCCGTAAGTTTTTGAAGATTTCTATTGTGTGGTTGGCTTGCCATTCTTCTTCAGTTGGCAATTTTATTATTAGAGAAATAGTAATCTGACGGTGTGGTCTGCCATGCTTTGCGCTTCCTTCCTCTTCAGTCTGCCGGTTTATAGACACTCCTTTTTGCTGTGGTGTACTGATAGTGGCGTGAACTAAAGGTATCTCTCTCAAAAAACCCTCACCTCAAACATTTCCCAATCCATCGCATTTTGTCCTTAGTTCCGCACTGAATTTACCTTCAAGCGTGTTTAATAGATGCCTACAGCCATTAAAGGTCAAAGGCTAACAAAACAACTACATTTATTGGTACTACTCAATTAGAGAACGTCAGTGATTAACAAACACTTCATGTACTGAACTCTTTGCATCAACGTTTGTCAAAAGCTGTTTGAAATTTGCAACTTATAGTCGCATATGTAAGTATAATCCATAGTTAAGTTGATGACTGTCTCATTGACAAATTTATGTTGGACATGACCAAGCAGGTAGAGGAGCACTACGAGATATTAACTTGACGAAGTTAAATAGGCACCGCATTTAAATCTACATTTTGATTTGACCCTGGGTTCAACTGATAGTTATGCGATTTTGTGATATAAGTTTATTGTAGCTATATTTGTATGTAACTGCGTAAAACTGACGCCAAAAACAGCATATATATAAAATTATTAATATATATATATATATATGTATATGTATATATATACATATATAATTGACCCTACTTAATCCCTTTTCTAGTAGTCTAAAGAGTGCTATTCGCCGCCAATCCAGCTCATTTCTATTTTAAGAACTTAACATATGGTTACATGTACTTCCTTTTACTTCTCTATCCGGCTTGCCGTCAAATTTCCTGCTGCTCGCGACTTTTCGATGTGATTACAAAACGGAATCACTCATCGTTGCCATCGACACCTGAACGATGACCGCTTCTTTGCAATGTAGACCACGCAAGTTCACCCTGAAAGCGTTCCAACAGAGGTTCTTCGTATTTCGGGATACAACACTATCAATGTACAAAAGCCGTGAGGCAGCCAACTCTAATGGACCCGCACAACTTGTGTTAAGTTTGAGGGGTGCAGAAGTTGCGCCCGACGTTGATGTCGCACAAGCCAAATACGGTGTCCGTTTAGAGGTGCCCAGCGCTGAGGGCATGACGGAGTACTGGCTCAGGTAGGTAGCTGGCTATAGGTTATGGTCGATATGCGAAAAACCATTTTTTACAGGTCTTATTGTCGAGGGGGGAGCGGGGGTAGTCAAGTCTCTGGTTGAATAACGACAAGGGTCGCTGCTTCGAGACCCGCCGGCAACACATACTACACAACCTGTGTAGGTCTGGGAGTCCGCGCACACTTTGTGGCTTTAGATGAGTTTTTTATTTATCATGAGCAGAGTCTGCTAGAATTTATTATAGTAGAAGGCCTTTCAGTTACAGATTTAACCTAAGTTTATAAGGATCGAACAAAACAGCTAGCTATTTAGATCGTCTCCTATAAACATAATTAAAAGATGGTTCATACGTTCGTGTCTGCCACCTGAGATTTATACAGGATTTGGAAATGAAACAAAGATTATGTGGTCATTTATTACTAAATTATGATCGCATAACTAATACCAATGCGGTGCCTTGTTAAGTCCTAATGGGAAACAACGACTTTCTATGGTACAAATATCCAAGGGAGTTCATCTTGCCGTAGATTGTAGGGTTTAACATAAGGAAAAACAATCTAGAAAGCTTTTCATTATAACTTCGCTTCTCATGGCCAGAATAGTATGGTGCTCTTATGATTAGTTCGTAACGTAGATTTTCCGTAAGCATCGCGCCACATTTACTTGAAAATTATAGCAAGTGCAGCACAATGAACTGAAAAAGTCAATTGAGTCCTGTTATTGGTTCATATATATTGTACCATTCAATGACCGCCATTGATTATTGGTTTGTTTTGTCCCGTCAGGTGCGAAGGTGAGGAGCAGTATTCGAATTGGATGGCTGCTTTTCGGCTGGCCACTAAAGGCAAAACGATGGCAGACGCCAGTTACGAACCGGAGGTAAAGGCACTGCAACAGTTTCTCAAGATGCAGAAACCTGTAACCAGTCCATCGATCGCTCTCCAGGCCAGCGTAAGTATTTCCCCTTCGATGGGTAGAGAATATATATATATATATATGTGTCTAATGTGAGGCTATGTAAGTAAAATCTTTGTCCTTATTTAAGCGGAGAGCACTTCTCATTTATGTTGCAGAGCGACATCGTCGTTGAGGATTTCAGTGCCCCGCGTTTTATTCGAAAACGTGGCGCTGGATGCGTTCAGAAGGGCATTCTGTTAGCGCACTCCAACGTAAAGGACTTGTCTCTTGCCGAGGCCAAACTCCAGTATATCCGTGCTTGGCAAGCGTTGCCTGACTTCGGCATAACTCTGTTCCTTGTCCGGTTCTCACAAAATCCCAAGAAGGACGAAATTCTTGGTGTGGCTATTAACCGGCTTATGCGCGTGGATTTATCCGCTGGTTCGTAATGCTATTTCTAGTAGTCATCGAGGCCATCCTGCGACTTAAAAATGCAACACAAACTTGTTTGTTTAATCCAGCTTCTGTCAGAAATGGAATTAAACCTGTTTATACTCAATGCAGTATATCTTTTGTATGATGTTAATTCCTTATACGATATTTACGTTGGCTCTATAATATAGGCGACCATTTGAAGACGTGGAGATACACTACGATGAAGGCCTGGGACGTTAATTGGGAGGTCAAGCAGCTGCGCTTGCAGTTTGAAGAGGAGGACTTCCAGGTCAGTATGTTCAAATACCTTTACCCAGATTCCTTTCTTTAAAATTCGTTTTAAAGACAATAGGAATTTATTCGTGTCACAACTGGCATTGATCCCACTATTATTCTAGGTGTCGCCGCTTTCTGCCGACTGCAAGACTATCCACGAGTTCATCGGCGGTTATATTTTCCTTTCGATGCGCTCAAAAGAGCAAAACCAAGCTCTCAACGAGGAACAATACCACAAACTTACCGGTGGATGGAACTAATAACGTTAAGCTGATTCAATCACCTTTACCTAGCTATTTCTCTGTTAATAAAGCAATCTACGGATGGACGTATTAAGTGAATTAAACCATGAAGTAACAAGCCATCGAACCCACTTCTACTAGTGCAAAAGTTTCAAGCAACTGGAGCCCATCATTGTCATGATACTTCAGTCAAGCTTCGAGTATTTCATTGCAAGCTAGGCAGCCTTTCGACGAAAGGCCCACAGGCTAGAATGAAAATAAAGTTGCTTTATTTGCAATTTTACGTCTCAATAATCAAGCCCAATCGACAATATAAATGCAGATAAGCCAAGCAAGCTATTGAACACAATTTTCCAAAGCACGCTCGAGTGTGCTTCCCAAAATCGAGTCCCTCTGTAGCGTATCGTCTTGTGACCTGTTTATCCGTCATCTGATCTTCATACGATTTCCAGCCATTGATCGTGTCACAAACGTGCGGATCAAGTCTAAGCTGATAATTACTGTTGGCAACAATAGCTATATTAGATAGTAATAGCGAGTGTTGGCAAGATATAAAATAGATAAATCCCGTTTTTTAAGCTGCACTAAACGACTATAAGCCTGCATTGACGAACTTTGGAGAGAACCTAAAAATCATAAAAGTTTTACGTATTAACCACTTACCATGGTTCGCGAGAATCACCAGCAGAGCAAGAAGTGCCGTAATCTGCTAACTTGACGTAATAACAAGAAGCGCGACGGACATTACGTGCGAGATGGATAGCCAAAATATTGTGAAAAGAATTGTTAGAGACGTACGTTTACGAAAATTGCATTAATCATTACACTAACCCATAATAACCAATGCACCGCAACGACTGCCAGGATTCACGGACAATGAACAGGAGACACCTAGATACAGAAGTTTTCTTGTGAACCTTCTATTTTCTGTGGGATGGTACATGAGTATATAAAAAGTATATAAGAGCAAGGCACCATGCTCGAAGAGGGCAAGCAGAAGGCCTATTGGAAAAAAGGGGAACGTCTGCTGTAACGAGAAGTTTGAAATCATATTTATATAGCAGAAAGAAGATAAAAAATTTGGTCGTAAGCATTGGAGATTGCTAATCCGAGAGACTCCGATCAACGGAACTGAGCGCATCAGATATATTGGCGAGCATAGCCGCTAGGTAGCTAAACAGAATACATGATCTGTCCATCATCCTCACCCTTACCATCAACCTCGACACTTCTATAAACCTTATATCGAAAGTTGTACCTTATCAACTGATCGACCAGAAAAATGACAAATAACTGCGAGAAAGATTTAAACTGAAAATCTTTATATGTTTTTTCTTAATATATATATATATATATACTTGGCTCCTTCTCGTTGTTGTCTCGTTGAATGAGTGATCCACGATAGAACAAATGTGAAGGAGATAATGTGGTTGATAAACGAACCTATTCTAAAACAAATAATGTAACACAAATATATAGAAAAAAACGGACCTAAGGAAACGGGTGTTCGCTCTCAATACGTCTACAGCGTTGTTTTCTTCTGTCATTGTCGTCTGTCGTCGACACGGATGTACGTTGACTTGCGTCTGTAATGTTCTAGACAGCCTCGTTGTGTTCGTTAACGTCAAACAGTGCACCGTTTGTGTAATCTAAAGACGAAACTACGGGGCAAAATTATAGCGTTAGAAAAATGCGCTAAAGTAAAGACGATAATAAAGAAAGGAGAGGAAAGGAAAGGAAAGGAAAGAAGATCAAAAGTGTACCGAATGCTTCCGGGAAAACATCTCTCGAAAAGCAAATGGTGTCGTCATGTGTCAATTGTTTGTACCTCTTTGATTCTAACATTACAGATATACAATATGTGTAATTGACACAGAAAAAGAAAAGTAGTTAAGCACAACGATGGTACGGCTCGTTTTCTAAACAGGGTGTAGTTTCACTCGCACAGAGCGCACAGACTGATACTAATTTGTAGAGAAGTTCAACGGTGGTCGTACAAAGAAGGACGCGACATAAACTCTACGTTTACTGAATTCACAGCAGATTGAACTTCGGAAGAAGTACACATGCATAGGTATCAATATTGTCAAGTAACAGTCGCGGGCAATCTTTTTCGAGAAGTGTCGCCTTTTGCTCAACCGCTACTAACGAACGTAGTAAGTCACTATGGTCCAATAGGGCAAACGATCAGACAGTCTCTGTAGTATATACTTGGATGCGGTGGCATCGAATTAACCTACCACGGCTTCTCGCGTCACCTTAACTACAGGTGAACGAACGCATCGAGAGACATTACTAGTGCAAGAAAGATAAGAAACAATTGTGGATTGTTTTGTTATTATAGACGTAATGCTTCTGAAATGCCACTAACCTGTTTAAGCCCACTTTCTAGTTCGTTAGTCCCATTCATAAATGGGGAATGACGGTGTACCGAAGCAAATCTATTATGATTATTCTAAAGGTGTTGACGTTACGGAGAAAAATGGGTGGACCAGACGCGCACATGTCCGTCCTATGGGCGGGAACAAAACAAGGCACATACAGTCGGTCTATATGTTGGTCCAGTGTACAACAAGTAAATATGATTGGTCTTCTGCAAATCATTTTCGCACGAGTTTCCATCGGCAGAAGGACAATGCGATTTTGGAGAACGAGTCCGCTCGTTTGCACCGAACAGAGCGAAGTAGCAAGAGAAAGGTCGACATTGCAACGAAGTGACATTGAGCGGAACGCTAGGAGAGCGTTTTTGCTGTGAGTTATTTTCTCTATTCCGTTTACTCTACCGAATTTCAAATAGATACTGCTGTTTACTTCTTAAGTTGTTTCCCTAAGTAAAGTAAATCAAATTGCCGTTTTTTATAAATGTGTCAACGCCACAAAGGAATTTACCAAAAAAAACCTCCACAGCATTTAATTTTACCGCCGCTGTTTGCAGTGGACTTAACGATATTGGAGCAACAACAGGGCAAGCTTTCAGGGAGATTGTTCTAGAGCAGAACAGAATGTTGGCTGTACGGCCGTTTTAGTCGGCGAAACGTATTCGCGAGACGAAAAAGACGTTAATGTCCATTAGAAATATCTACCTGCTATCGTCGGTAATAGTGAATGGCTAATTTATTGCGAAGGAAAATTACAAGAAATTATGTAACTGCAAAAATTACCAGAAAAAAAAATCAAATATTACAAAGCGACTATAGGCGATATTTCAGTAGTTAGAAGTGACAACGATATATGGGCGAAGCAAACAAAAGAGGTCATCGCTTCCCTTCGACACGATATTTCATGCCGTTGATGGACGACGGGAGATGTTTTTAAGCGAAACGTGCAATCGCTAATGTGTAACTTATGCCGAGTAAGTTCCTCAAAATAAAACCACTAACAACATATAATTTATTTTGCGTATCATACGTGTCGTTAATTCCGCATCAATATGGTAGAGATAAGTTTCCGCTAGCCGGTAGCGGAACTAAGGGGATGGGCTAAGATGGCCGCATCGTCGTTTCAACAACAATAAGAATTTTGGAACACAATTGTGTGTCCTCGGTTCGTTCCTTCTCAGGCTCGTTCAGCCACCGTCACTGCTGACTGCATGACGGATCATGCTTGTAGTGCTTGCGGTGCTTTCCACTGTAGATCAGCAGGAAGCGCGAAGCAGGATTTATTATAAAATAGACTAACTTACAAGTTGTTTCTACTTGTAGGAATCAGATAGCTCTCAGTCGTTATACAACGGTAACGTGTTTGCCTAGAAAGAAACGACATAGGGCGGTCTAGGTAAGCGTTGCCATACATTGTTCCGCGCTCGAACGCAATGCTTAATGGCAGCAATTTAAATTGAGCATTACGGAAAACAAGTTCAAGCTAACGGCTTATCTCATGAGATTAACGTAAAGACCGCGGTAATTGAACGAACAACTTAGCCGCTCGCCAGACAGAGGATCGATCAAAAGAAAAATCTAGTCATACTTACACGATGATTGCGAGGCCCGTGTATTAACGAAATAAAGCTCAACTTTTAAATCCTTAGCTTTTTAGTGCTTTATTTCAAGCGTAATTGGTTAGAAATACAGATTTATGAAGAATTATGAATGGAGTAAAGTCGGTGTTTGACAGCGACGTTTTTGCCCTCAGTTCTAGGCAAAACGCCTAGTTTCAACTACTATTTATGGTAACATAAATGTAATCTTTTGACGGCTCGAATGATTCTTCCAACCACACTTAGATGCAGCGTATGACAAATAACATCGACTAAGCATAGTCGTTTCGTCTCGTATTCAGGACCTAAAGGCGCTATTTTGTTAGCGCGGTGGTAACCTAAGCCTTATCATAGTCCTGATCGAGATATTCACTATCGCTCATTGCTCCTTTGCTAGACCCAGACGCCACAGCTCCGCGACGTTATAAAGGCATCCTCGAAAATAGCCAGGGTTTGACGAATAAACGAGTTCATCGCCTGGCTAATGTTAGACGGAGTAAATAAACAAACGTTGATCAATGCTTTACAGAGTCGAAAACGTAGCAGGAAAACGTTTCCAGTTTGTGTCGTCAGTGATAACGCGGTACGTAGTAATTTGCTCTGTGCAGACACCTTTTCGTGTATGTGACGTGTCACAGAAATGGTCGTATCGCTGAACAGTACTACGTTTCCCTTTAGCGCTTAAACCTTCACCAAACTAACTAGGTTTTTTTTCCTATAACACTTAACTTTTTCCTTTTATGTATATTAGGGTCTCTACCCGCATGAATGGCTAATCCCCAATGACATTGCAATGCTGAATGTTTGTTAACCTTTGTTGAAACAATTTGGATTGAACTAATTAGCCAACAGCTTTGTCTCATATCATCATTTCCTACGTTTGACCCTGTAGTTGAAACAATCTCGACTCAGAGAGAGGTAGGGGTCCAGGCCTTAGCACGAGTAGGCCATCTTTTCACTTTTTTTCCTAAGCAAGATAGATATATAGCTAACCTACTGGGCCGTTTCTGAAGGAAGAGTTTACGTCAGCAGCACGCACTTACTTAAGCACTAACTAGCTGGTGTCACAGTACCTATCTCTGTTTGATTGCTTTGTTACCCTATCTACTGTATGTAGATAAAGGGCTATATCATTTATATAAACGTGATATATTTACATGTTTAAACGAAATTTGCTCACAATTGCATTCGTTCTTCTATAGTTGCATGCGCATTTGGCTGTATGTCGAGGAATACTTCAATCGGTTCTACATATCTCATTAGGCAATGAGCTGTAACTTTATAGTGATAAGATGCCGATATGACATAATTCTGTGACTGTACATATGATTTCTGTCTGTGCTGTATGTATCTCTCTGTACGTAGCCTTGCTTTCATTCGCCCATTTGGCTAACTCAGTCTTTCCAATTGGCCATTGATCAGATTTGTTACTCGCCCAATATGGGACGTATCGTAGCGGTAAATCTTGCACCCTGCTATAGGTTCTGTGCTTGACGCATTGGCCTTGCGACGTGTAGTAAATAATATCCACAGGGACGCCACATACTTGGTGGATACCTTTAAGCTCGAAGAAAACTCGATGCGTAGATACTCGAAAAGGCGGTTATTTCTAACGGCTTGCGCCCGAGTGAACAAAATTTCACAAGTTGAATAACCCTAGCTAAAGGTTACAGCCATGGGTGAGTTAGCCATCTGGCGTTAGTTGTCTGAAGCAATAGCTCTAGTAGGGTCCGCATTTATTTTCAGTAGTTGACCCGGAAATATCGGATGTGATGATGAAGCCACACTTTTCTGGCTTCCTAATAGGAAGCAAAGTGGGTGTTCTCATAAGAAGTTTGTATTTCTTCTGGGATCATAACCTTGATGTATCATAGTTTTGATAGCATTGCTCATCTGGAATATCCGGCCAACGAATTAACAAGCGGACTTAAAGATATTAAATAATTTGTGTCCCCTTGGTAAATATTAGGTACCGAAAATGCGGTGTGTATATACAACATTGGATCAAGTAATATCGTTCCTGTTCGACGACGGGCTTAACAGCCATATATGTATAGAATCAATGGACAAGCCGGAACAGAAACGAAGGGATTACCTAGAAAGGTACAAAATTAATTGGAGAATTGACATCTAAGAGAATGTTTTTCCGATGCAAAGATATAGTTTGGTAGTCGCACGTTTCCAGGGAGGGATTCGCGGTTAAAATTGTCAGGATTGCCTCTAAGGTGTATAAGCAAAAAATGCCGTGTCATATCCTAATTCAGCGCAAGTGGAAAAGTTAGCTACATTTAATGACTTTCTTTGCTTTGTTTCGTGTCGGATACCAATACGGAACTGTGCAGGAATTCACAAAAAAGGACTAGGGGTCGCCGCCTATTCGCGCTTTCTTGAAAATTTTCCAACTTCAAGCAAATGGGTAAGTGCAATTAAGTTGTCACTCGTTAATTGTAAAAGTGCAATAAATCTCGCTGATCTTCTTGCCGAACGACTCCATACCATAACAAGCGCTACAAAGATTCCGCCTGTATCGAGGGTTATATTAAAGGTGACACAGATAAGAGAAGCAGTGTTAGGAACAAATCCTAGCTACCTTAACAACTGAAGAGCCACGCCAATAATGGCAGCTGGCCAAGATGACGCTTGTAAGTAACAGGACACAGATTGGTAGGAAAGCCTTCGGCGGTGCATGATCGCTCGCAAGTCCTTACCGCATTACAACGAAATAATGACATGTACTATTGTATAATATACATGCACGCTATGGCAGAAATGCCAATGCTGCAATAAAGATAAGTCCCGCTCTGTGGAAAACAAAGTAGCTTTGCCATATAGCCTTAACGTTCTACAGCATAGAATGTGAAAGCTTTACAGTATATTTCACCTACGCAAATGGTACTCTGCTTAGAATAGATATCTGTTCTAGTTCGCCTTCTTTCTTCACATCATTAAGTATTAACCGCGCATCGAGTTCGTAGAGGTCGCAGGTTCACGTACACGATACGTTATTGGAGTTATTTCTTGCACGTTCAGCACCTTGCAACCTCAGTGGCCAAATCTGTTTTCTTCTGACGAGAGCTCCATGAACGCGCTCCTGATACTCAGTACAACGACCATTTTCTTAACGGAGTGGAGATAGCAAGACAAGAACCTGCTACGGGAAACACTCCTTGTTTCAGTCGAGATCGCTGCTTGTCCAGCCGGTCAAGAGGGTTAGTCCTATCAGCAGATAGGCACATATACCTAGTAACGAATTAGTTTCAGACTACCGTCAGTCAGTTCCAGGTGAACTATTTTCAGAGGTAGCTGACTCGGATAGTCACTGCATTTAACGCAAAGCATGACCTCTGTTACGATTGCGGCACCGACGTCATTAACGTCATTAAAAAGGCCTGTTCGATTTTGTGTTATTATCTCCAGGAGCTTGAGGGAGGGAGTTTTTTTTTAAAGTCTACATTGTATCCTATGGCGAACTGCTTTCCAGAAGTTCATTCATTATAAGGTATCACTAAATATTAGAAAGCTTATAAAATTACCGCAAAGAAGAAAAAAAGAGCTTATTATCTGATGTTTTGAAAAGCTTTTTAGGAAGGAAGGAATTTAACAAGAAACCTGCAAATAACACTAGCTTACAGAGTACATGAAGCTTGGAGTTTTCCCATTTAGAAATATTTGTCGGGTTAAATGTCTGGATTCGACCGATACGCTCTATAAAAAATGCCTTTTAGTAGAAAACGATGGGTGACGCGGGACTACGATGGCCTCTTTGCAACATTTTTTTCGACTCGAATAATCCTTTCGCGCTCTGCTCACATGCAGCTCCTAGCGCGGCGCAAACGACAGCGACAATCGCAATGGTTTTGTCCTATACTATGCGAGAACCATGTGTAAACATTGTCCTAGCGCTTGATCTAGAGGTCAGCAATTAACCACTATTCTTCGAGTGGGTCGGCGTCTCCAAGGATGGCCAGAGACCAACGAGAAACTCTAGACAACTTCATAATCGGTCAGTGGCATAAACGTTGAGCTGCGTTTCATGATGTCATAAAGGAAACACAACCACGTTTTCAGGAAGCATAGAGCAAGTTTATTCTTGAGAAATCTTTCCGCGTTGACAGCAAATTCCTGCCCACGCGGACCGCATTTATTAGAATTCTGACCATCGCAGAAAATAATTGTATACAAGGAGTCGTTCGGCAA